CACACACACACACACACACACACACACACACACACACACACACACACACACAAGCAAAAGCAAAAACATTATTGCTTCAGCATCTTGCAATAATAGACAGAACTATGTTTTCCATTTTAAGCAGTTAAAACAGTTTGTAACCTCACATTCCTCAAGAAGAGTATAAATGAAATAAAAATGCATATTTCTAATTAATATGTATTTTATTGCTTCCTTCTTTACAGACCCAATCCATTTGCTCACATCCGACTCAGAAAAACGGTCACCAACGATCGCTCGGCTCCCATTATCGAGTGAGTCTGTTTTTCCTCAGTGTCCCTGTGGATCATCGCTTCATCCAGCCTCAGGTTCATCTCTGGAAACTGCACCTTGACCAGTGACTTGCTCTGAAAGTGTTTTATTTCTCAGTTAAATCGTAGGAAGTTTATGTTTTATGAGGAGAAACAGAATCTGATTTGAGTTATTTTTTTATTTTGGGGGTTGTTAGAAACCAGGAAAGACAACTGGATAAATGAAAATGTGGCAGGAAGTAACTGTGGGCGTTAAAAGTGGTAGTTCAGACCTTTTAAAACTGAAACCATATCTTGATGTTACCCTTTGAATGAGCTTCGTTTGAGAAACAGATTAATTGTGACCAGAATGATGAGCTAATGGCTGACCTGTGTGACCAAAGATGGTGCAGTGGTTTATGTGAATGTTATTTAATAAATCTTTACGCAACTATTAATTAGCATTACGCACTTATTTTCACAGATTTTTAATTACTTTCAGGTGGCTAACTGTAACATTTCTGGTGCAGCCCAAGAAAATAATCAGGAGAAAATAATATTTTTAATGTTAACATGTCATCTGTGTAAAGGTTCATGAAGCAGAGTTCACATGAACTGCTGTATATGAGAATTAAGTTGTTTTAAAATAGCAACCATCTACTTTTTTCTTGTTTAGCTCATAAGTCTGGTTAGAAATAAAATGTTTCTCCAGATTGAAGTAATTTAAAAAGCTATCCACAGCAAGTAAGATATTCATTGTTTACAGTCTTTTTTTCAGAATGCCACACCAAAAGATCTGAACTGTCCCTTTAACTTGGTCAGGTTTGTTTTTGTTTTAGAGAACATAATGCTGTCTTAAACTTCTAAAATTTTCTTATTAGTCCTGTAATTTAAAGCATCTTTTTTCTGTTTTCTCTTATTTGTTATAATTTTCAGAAAATGTAAAATCTTCGTTTTGCTGCTTCAGTAACTTGATCTATAAAAACAAAAGTCTCACTTTGTTAGGACATATTTTATGACAAGGACAGGTTCCTTCTCTATTCTAGATTTTCTTTTTTTCTTTTAGAAAATCTTCCATATTGGTGCATTTTAATGAGAAAAAAAACATAAATTTGTTTTAAATCCTTAATGTTTAGATAAGTTCCTAGACTTTATTTAATGACACTGAAACACAGAAAAGATTTTGCATCACTTTTACTTTGGTAATAAGAAGTGTTTAAATGCACAAAGCTCTGAAGTTTTTGTGACGCTGTAAACATTTTGTTAGTAATTGTAATGATAGATTATTGGATTATTTTAACTTGTTCCCTGGATTCGTATAAAAAATTTATTTTCTGTTATGCTTCAGTGGAACTAAATTAATCACATTTTATGACAGTGTTTTAGGGCCTTTGTAAATAAAAACAAATAAAAGGAGCTGGAGGGTGGAGTGAAATTTAGAACAAAAGCTAAGAACTTTAGACATAAATGTAGGATTACCTAAATAGTGGTGAATTTTTTTATGAACAAATGTAAGATTTTGTGAGAATAATGCTATCCTCTTATCCTCTTATTTTTTTAAATCACAAATAATCAAAAATTTCCAGGATTAAAATTTAAATTTAATAGAAAAAACTCTGCTGTTTACAAAGCTTTGAGTATAATTTGGTCTAAAAAATGCTTAGGTATCCCGAGACTGAAGTTGTTGTTTTTTTTTTTTCTGTAATTTTACACCTTAATCTCAGAATACTTTTGCCTTTTTTCACACAAATTCTACTTGATTAATCTCAGTGAACTTGTCAGTTTTATCAAAGTAAATTTAACTAATTTAACCTTTTGAAGTTATAACTTTTTTTGCTTTGCACAGTTATGACTTCTCATCATCAGAGAATCAGTTTTATTCTTGCAATTTTTGGTTTTAATCATGAAAATTTTGACAATATTCTTTCAAACTTATGAAAAGATATTAAAATCTGAATTTTATGTTCTTAAAGTTTTCTCATCCTCCAGCTCCTTTTCTTTAAAATAACAGTGGCTTTAATAGACTGTCAAACATATTTTCTCATAAAAAACACAACAAACCATAAAACTCACACACTGTGAAGGTTAACAGCTTAATGTTTAAATAACAGTTTATGGAGAGAAACGTTTTTTTTTTTTTTTAGAAAGTTTCAAGTTGAAGAAGGTTTAAGGGCTTGGAGGTTTGAATGCTTAGATTTGGATCATATGTCTTCTTGGTTCCCTTTGAGTCATACATTTTAAACCTGATGCTCTTCTTGCTGAATTTTATCAGACTGAACTGTCAGAACCTTAACGAGTTGTGAAAACCAAGATGTTTGTGGAGAGAACGTTTCAAAGAAAGTGAAAGAGAAAGTTTACAGGAAAGTTGATCAGCGTCGCAGCAGGTGTTTGTGGTAAAATACAAACATCCAGAATCATATGAGTGGATCTCAATCTCTAGAAGCGTGAAGAGTTTTTGTTTTATACTTCTATATAACACTAACAGCACGTCGTACTGCTTACTTTGCATCATTAGTTGGAAGAAATGCTTATTATTGCTTGTAAATAGTGCTGAAAATATGCAATTTGTATTTGACTTTTTGAATATTTCACTTTGGTTGAACATTTTGACTCTGTGATCGTGCAGAAAAACTGATACAGAAGAAGCAGAAAAACTGCAGGTACTGAGGTTAATACAAAAAGTAATAATTAAAATAACTGTGGCTGCTTTAATAAGATGACAAGCTGAATTTTGTAGGTTTTGTTTAAATTATTGAAACGTGGCATTTAAATAGCTCATAGATGCTCAGTAAAATTCAAAAGCGGCTGAAAAGATGTAGATTCTATAATAAATGTAACGATATATTTATAATCCAGCAGTGTCAAGTTTTAACAGAAATTATTTGTCTTTATAAATTTGTTCTCCTTAATCCAAGTCAGCACGAGTTCAAACCATTTCAACTGAAGTGAAATATTGTTTAAAAATCAGATGCAGCTTAAATAAAAAGAAGTATTTGAAATGTTGCACTGTGAAAACACTGACAGGCCATTGTATTAATATACAGTTATGATGCTATGATGAATACTTGATGGAAGTTGTGGAATAAAATTGAAATTTACAAATCTACAGACTATCTTTGCCTCCTAAAACTGGGATTTCTGCTTGTTTAAAATGTAGATTTATGGAAAAAAATGACTTGGTTGTGTTCAAACTGAGGGTGAAGCTCAGGTTATATCCAGACTCTTCATTTGATTTTCACAGGTAATATTGCATCTCATTCAGCAATCCTACATTTATAACTATAAATGCTGTTAAAACTTTAATTCATGCAAACAGGTTAATGCTGGTTTGAGAAACAGTGAACATTTTGTCAGCGTTTTTAATCTGATTACACCTTTACCACACGTCAGAAAATGTCCAGTTAGAAATCTCCAGTTATAGCTGTTAGAGATCAGTGCAACAATCCTGCAAAGCAGTTAACCCTTTTCTCATCAATTAAACTGGACTACACTTCAATTTATATTTTTATTTGTGTTAACCTGTTTCAAGTTATGTCTGTTCAGGATCTAGAACAATCTAAAAATATGTATTTCAAATCAATATTTGATGCATCTTTGTGCCAATAAAAGCCCAAAATATATGCTTCTACAGCTTCAACCCACAAACACAAATGATCTAAAATAGGCAAAACACATTTTGTGCTTTCAGTTCATTCTGACCAAAACTGAATGTATTTCTCTGTTGACTTCAGGTTTTTTTTATTATCTTGATATAAAACAACACCATGACAGGCTTGATTAGTTAATTAGTTGGGAATCCTTTTGTCATACTTGAGACAAAAACTTGCAAATGATGGCAACTGAACATAATTTCTTTGAGACAAGAAAAACAATAAATTTTAGATTTAAAAACAATTCTGCAAAATTTAAGTGGTGCCACACATTTGACATGTCGAATAAATTAATCTGACACAAATGCAGAATTAAATTATACTTTTATTGTGAGACATGGGAATCGGGGAGAAACTCAGCAGACAGGTGTGAACAAGAGAAGAGACAGTAATGAACTGTTGATACGATCATATTAAAAATTTTTAAGCCACTCTAAGCTCCTTCCTTTAGGTTCACATGGATGGGCAGGAACATCGGGCATGTTTCCATCATCCCGCACAGGAACTACAATGACAAGAATAAAAAGAAAACACTTTAGCAACATATTCCAAGATCAAGTAACATTTTGCACATAAACAGGTTGATGTGAAAGGTCTGTGTTCACCTGGGTAGGTGTACGGCGTTGCTGCATTAATCATGCCTGTATATTTTGTGTAAGGACTGATGAAAGGAAAGGTCCAGGCTAGAGAAAGATACAAGAAAATCAGTTTGCCTTTTTGAGATGAGAAACATAATAAACATGAGATGGATTCCTTTGGACCCACTAAAGGGTCCAAAGGAACCCATCTCACTATGTTTTCACTTCAACTACCTCCATGTCCTCTCTGCATTCATATATCACTTTGTATAGCCTATATGCCACGGTCATTAATGACGTATTTCTGGTAAAAAATTTTGCCACGCTCCTCCCTTCCACTCCCTGCTTACTGCCTATGTTTTTACCATTAGCTCCTAGTACTAGTCCGTGAAAACGTCCCAAATGTTAAAGCATCTGTGATCTACTGGTATAAAACTTGAGTTCTGTTGTGTGCCGTTGTGTCCACTAAGCAGCAGATATGATCGAGTAGTTAGTTTTTCTCCATTTTCCTCTTGATGAGGTGACAGCAGAGGATCATAGCATTACAGGCAAAACTTATCTTTAAAAGCTCACGCTTGCGTTTGTAATCGGCATTTCTAACCTGAGGATATTCAAGAGGCAGCATCAGAAATGAGAAGACGGAGGTTACAAAAGGGAAATGTACATTTATCCCCTTTTACTGCCAAGACCGGGAGAGGAAAGACCTCCTTCACATGACAGCTAGCAGGAAGCTAACACAGCAGCTGGTACAAAGGTAGGTGTGTGTGCGCACGCGTGTTTGTGTTATATGAAATGTTTTTATGAGACTGTATCATGAGTTTTATGCAAAAGTAAAAACTTGTTAGAGTGTATATTACAGCGTAGACTAAAGCTGAGTGACGAGCGTCCCCCACCCCTTCCCCCCGAGCACCGAGAGCAGCAGAACCTCTGCCTGATAATCATTACGTTTTCAGTTCACTAACGTCGGGGAAACGATCCAAACCATACAAGTAGCCCATCAATTTAAAGCCCAGACTCTGTTCTTTCCAACAATATAAGTGTCACAGCTCTACGTGAAGAATTCACGGAACAAGCAGCCACGGAATAGTGAAAAAGGCTAAATTCTGGAACCACAAACAAGAACGTCTTTCCTTTGTTTTTATGGCTTTAATCCACTTTGGAGTGATTTTTTTCCCACTTTGCTGAACCTGTATGTCTCCTGTGTTTATGTTGGTACATGTAATATGCTAATTCTGTACTGTGGAGATCATTAAGAGTCGTTGTCGGGTGAAAAAAATCTTTCGCTAACTCTGTGTTGACCCTGAACCGGAAGTGTTGGGAGTGGCATCAAGTGCTTGACCGGATGTCCGTGGCATGTAGGCAATTGAGTTTTGAGATGATACACAATATTTAAGTATTACAAAACGCGTTAAAACTCATTTAATGATGACCTAAATAAAAACAAAATTTCCCAATATCACTACCCCAAACATCTACCTGCCTATAAAGAAAGGTGCAGTAATTAAAAAGTTGTTATAATGAAAGGTGTTAGCTCAAACAGATTGTAGTCCTTTGAAAGTGCAGCATTTTCAGCTCCTTGTGACGGTTTACTTACCTACGGCTCCTACTGTACAGGCGAATGCGAGAAGAGGTTCCTTGTCCCAGAAATGCTTCAGGAAAGCCACGACTTCTGCAGGAAAAACCAGGGTAAAGTTAAAGAAACTACCACAGATACAAGCAGCTAGCATGTTAGCTATTAGCGACGTATTCAAGGTGACCTTTTCGTTACGTTTCAAATGCATTAAAGCGATTCTAATACGCAACTTGAATAATTCTCACATTCACCTACGCTGCCATTAAGTCATATTATAGCTAACTGATTAAATTTCAGCTCCAAAAGTGACAATATACACATACTTGCCACTGCCATACTGCTGACTGTAGTTTTTTAGCCAAGCGAGGGTACTCATGGGAAATGTAGTTGGAGAGCGTATAGGACGTATAATTTCTGCGCCCGTCGCACAAAAACAAGCAAAAGTAGAAGCTTCGGTGTTCTTGCTTTGTTTTGCATTTAAATCAAGTTTTATGTTTGTAAACGTTTTTTAATTGATCCAACAGTATCAATAGTGGAGTTTTGTACAGTTTGTTGAAAGTTTTGATTATAAAGTATTCAGCTGTGTTACCGAACCGAGCTGTGTTTTTGGACCTGAACACCTTGAATTGTAAGTACTAACGGGTGAGCGTCGGGCGGTGAATGAATGAATGTGTTGTTACTACGCCTGTATTCTTTCTCTGTATGCATACATGAAAGTGTGGCATCTAATCATCATGTGTGTAATTACATGAAAGTATTTAATTTTGAAAACAGATGTGAGTAACTTGAAGTGTTATTGTTTCAGATGATGGAAGATTTCTCGGGATTGGCTCTTCCTCCTCTTTTTGGTGGCCACATCTTGGAGGCAGAGCTGGAGCCTGGTGGTGTGGAGCTGGGACCAGGAGAGGTATAAAATATAAATAATGGTACAAATAACCTTTACATACTTAGCACAAAAAGTAAGGAAATTAGTGTTTGGAAGATTACTTCTTTGTTGTAACAATGCTGCTTGGCGATAAATATTATACCACTAGAAAATCTGTAAATTTCTCTTTTGCCAAATTTGTGGGATGAGCAGTTAAAAGAGCTGAGTATGTGGGTTTTGCTTGTGAAAAAAAATGTCAAATCTTCTCTGCTAAAAAGCTTATTTATGCTGTTACTATTGACACTTGTTTTGAGTGCCTGGTACCTCCAGGTGCTGCCAATCAGGTGCCAAGAAGCATTGATACAACAAAAAGATAACCAAACACAAATTTTCATACTTTCTGTGCCAAGTTTATTTCACTAGTTCTCACCGTTTTTTGTGGGCATGGCTTTGTTTTTATTTTCACTTCACATAAAACTTAACTATGAATAATTTTGACATACTATGCAGTTAATATCAAAGTGTCCCTGAAGCCCTCGTTGCCTCAGATGTGTGCCTCTGTGGAGTGAGTCTATGTAGCTACACTTGTAACTCTGCAGCACTTTCAGTCATATACTTGCTTTTATGTGTGTGTTTGATTTTATAATTTTGCTAAATAAGTACTAAAGTAATAATTAGTAATAATGACTTTTTAATATATGGGTGCTTTGCTACCTTCAGGATTTCTTTTGGCATTCCTGGGATTTTAAACATTCCAGTTTAAAAGGTCTTCTGAATTTGCTAAAACCATATTACCTGAAATAAGACTCTTTGTTAACATTAAACAACAGTTGTTGCTTTTTTCTGTTTGTGCCTCACAGCCTGCTGAATAGTTTCTCAACATACGATAATATTATGACTGAACCAATTCAATTCAGGCTGACTGGGATGTTGCACGTCATCATGGGAGTGTGTGTGTGTGTGTGTGTGNACTCAACACAAGCTAACCACAATAAGTCTTTTGGCCCTACTGTCTCATGTTGGCCTTAATATGTTGTTCTTTTCCTATTTATTATTTTTTAATGTAGTTTTTGACATGTGAAAACATCTAATTACTTCAAAAATTGTATAAATGTTTATTTAATTTCTAACTTACCACTTTGCCATTTTATTACTGACACAATGCTTTCTAGGAATCTTGATTATGAAGATGATGGGTCACAGTAGATAACACACACACACACACACACACACACACACACACACACACACACACACACACACACACACACACACACACACACCCATATACCTCTCGCGGACCCCTGGGGGTCCAGGGACCCCAGTTTGAGAACCTCTGATCTAGACTAATCTCTCCTGCTTTTTTTAGAGTTGGTTGTGTGGGTGTTTTAAAGCAGGTGGGACCACTCTCCTGTGGCACTGACTTGTTAAAGATCAACAGTAACACAAGCTGTCTGAATGGTTCAGGGATGTTAATAATAGTCAGCAGTATATTTTGATTGTAGCTGAAATTACATGTTGCTAATATTTTTGCTTTACCACTGCTGTCCCTTTCACAAATAAGGACAAAAATAAACAGAGCTGGATATTTACTAAAACATTCAACATAAAACAATGAATTGTAATGAATTAAATTAGTTATGGCCTCAACTCAGCAACTTAGTTAAATATTAGAACAATTTTAACTAATCTGTTTGTTTTGAATCACGGAGAGACTCAAACAACACAAAAATATAAATTGATCATCTGTTTTCATCTTCAGGTGGAGTTGGACCCGGGGGGTAATGAGCTGCTTGAGAGCACAACACAAGAAGATGAAGAGAGAAGAGCTCTCAACAAGAGAAAATATTTGTCTCTGAGCAGGAGATGTAAAGATATCGAACAGGTGTGTGTTGACATTTACGTTCTGTATGTGGGTCATTCTGCACACACTTCCTGAATGTGTTTCCTGTGAAGTGTGAATAAGAGGAATGAATATACAAAACACTTTGGTGACTTAGTGCATATTTTCTAGATTTGTAGGTATTGTTATTTAAACTTAATTCTTATAGAATTTATCTATTACTGTTTTGCCACTTCGTAATTCCCGTTTAGGTGAACCAGAAAATCCTGGGTCGCCTTCACCAAGTACAAAGAATCACACGACGCTTGAAGAAAGAGAGACGGTACAAACTTTCTGTTGAGATCCTAAGTTGTGCTTTTTTTGAAATCTGTGACAACACGACTGAGAAACTGTTCTGACCTTCGCAGGTTTCTCATGAAAACTTTAGATGCTCACGGAGATGATTATAGAAACGCTCAGCTCACTATGCTGCTGGAGGTAAGGATTAGAGTGATGTTGATCTGAGGAAGAAATTACATTTTTCCATGAAAGACAGATCACACACTTTGAGGACAAAAAAACATCTGCATAAAAAATATGTGTCTATCATATTAATCATTACTGGCTAAATGCCAAAATTAATTTGATTAAAAATAAATGTTGACAATATTGCCCAACCCTATTTTAAACCTTCACAGCCTTTTGTTTGTTCTCCACTGTTGATACACTTTCTCACAGCGTTTGCTTTAACACAGAACTCTTTAATGTCATTTAATGCATGAAAAAAAGAACAGCCTTAGTCCTACATGCTCAGAGCTGCTGGATTTAAAAATATTCCTGGACACTTGTTTCAGGATGACCCTGGAGCCCATTTAGATTCCTCTGCTGGGGTTGAGGATGATAGACCAAACAGTGTGTCTGGTTCCTCTGCGGCTCTGCATCCTCCAGCTGGACCGAAGAAGAAGAGGCACCGAATTCCTCGGCAAGACAAGGACCAACAGGTTAGTGAAGGATTCGTGTTTGTTTTTGCCCATGAGATTTCACAGGTGACGTTTAAACAAGTCTTGTTTCAGCTGTTACCGTTTTCAGGGGTCGCCCCCAGCGAATCGTCTTCCTCCATCTCACTCTGTCCTCACTCCAACTACCTCCATGTCCTCTCTAATGGCTCCCTATGTGTCTTTTTTGTCTTTTTCCTGGCAGCTGCCTCTCTAACATCCTTCTACCAATATACCCACTGTCCCTCCCCTGGACATGTCCAAACCATCTTCATCTCTACGTCTTCCAGTTCTGTTTCCTCTTGTTTTGAAAATCCCACTGTCTCCAAACGAAACAACTTACCTGCTCTCTTGTAAACCTTTGTTTTGACCTTTGCTGCCTATTTGTCACTGTGTAAATTGCTTTGAGATAATTCCATTTCTGTCACTCTTTCTCAGGTTGAACCAGATGTTTCTGTTCTGCCAGAGACGCAGTTTGGAGAAATGCCGAGTCCAACATCTCTGTCGCACTGATCACACACCCTGGATATAATGAACATGATGATTTACATTATTTCTTGTTTCACACAAAGACAACTAACAAATCAAGTCTGTGCAACAATATGTATATGTTTTTGTATAAATTATTTTGTATAATCATATTTTGTAATAAAATGCAGAATTATGTGTAGTTTTGTGGACAGCCCAGTTTGGTTACAATATTATAGTTGTAATATGGGAGAAACCTAAATTGAAAAACAAATCATGATCAAAGGGAAAAACATTTCTGTATAACACATTTGTTTATCAGTATTTTAATGTTTTTGTTAAATTGTTTCTATTTTGTTTGTTTGTATACAATAGTTTGGTATCAATATTTCACTTTCAGGCAAAATAAAACAAAAATTTAAAAAGCCTTTTTGCATGCCCCTTGTTAGACTTTTTATTGTGATATTTTGTCACAGCAGAAGACAGTGAAGCTTGCAAAAAAATACCTAAAAGAAAAATAAACTACTAAAATTATTTCTGCCTGAATAACAAATATGTGCTAATTTTCTCACAAATGTAAGTGTGTTTTGTACAGAAAGACAAGAGAAAATGTAATGGGACCTTTATGCTTTGTGTCGATCACTACAGAACCAATAACCGAGCTGTATTTCAGAGTGATTGACATAACTTCTGCCCAATCATATTGCTTATAACAGCTGTTGGGGCGTGGTCTGAATGCGGAGGTGGGATTTTAGCTACCGTCCATCTTCAGCTACATTACAGTGAGCGAGCTTATCGAAAAGAAAACATTTTGGAAGTAAAGAAGACTTTCTGGAAGTAGTTTTGGCCGTATTTGAAATAAGAAAACGAAATCCCATACCCTAGGTAAATGTCGTACACAAGTATCAATGTAGACTGTCGGGTCGACCCAGTTTCCCCTTTTCCTTAATTTGGCTAGCTAAGCGGCTAGTTAGCCAGACAGTTAGCATATTAGCTAGCATATCGACGATTAGAGCGAATTCTAGTTTAATGTGGCTTTCACAACGTAAAACCATTTCATGAAAACTATGCTAGACCCCAGAGTAATGATGCATGAATGTGAAATACATACAATAATATTCCGGGTGCTTGTTTTAGTAAGGACCGGTTGCTAACCGAGCTAAGTGGACGAACAACTGCCTAGTATTAACGTTAGCTCGCTAGTTGGCTAATTTTAGCTGACATCTATATAATTCCTGTTTAATATTAGCGGGATAATTGAAGTTGGTTAAATATAATCACTAGGAGGCTGCCATATGCATGTTTTTGATGGAAATGCTTTCATTCTGCAGCGGATGTGTTAAGTTCTGCTAATGTCAACTGTTCAGCTGGATGGTCAGTTTCACTCTCTGCAGCCCGATGTACGGCTCCTGCTGTTGGTGGGAGTTTTGTGTTGCTCGAACAGTGAATTTATACATGTTTGTTTTGTTTTCACAGCCGACTTCTTGACAGACGGAATGTGGACATTGTCGTAGTCAGAGCCATGGCTGACAAGAGAAAACTACAAGGTAAAATTGCTCATTCTGCACTGGATCCAGTTTGGCATTCAGAATTGACTTGTGAGGGACTTTTCTGTGTGTATATATTGTGAGCAGTTCCATTTCACATCTTTTGTCTCTGCAGGTGAAATAGATAGATGTTTGAAAAAAGTAGCTGAGGGTGTAGAGCAGTTTGAAGACATTTGGCAAAAGGTAAAAATATTTTCTCATCGTTTTTTTATGGGATTAAAAAAACAAATCAAATTTACATGTTTTATTTGTGTCTACGTTTCAGCTTCACAATGCAGCCAACGCGAACCAGAAGGAAAAATATGAGGCTGACCTCAAGAAAGAGATTAAAAAACTACAAGTAAGACAACTTGACACATTTTTTTCCTACAAGAAAAAAAGCGGATGTTCAGAATGAACTGTGTTTTAATCTTCATCCTCTGTGTTTTTACAGCGATTGAGAGATCAGATTAAAACATGGGTGGCCTCAAACGAGATCAAAGACAAAAGGCAGCTAGTTGAGAACCGCAAACTTATAGAGACGGTATGGTGTTTAATGTATACATTTTTTATTCTGTTTTTGCATGCATTCACAGAGCTTTCCTTTTTATTTATTTTAGTACTCTTAACACTACCTCATCATGCTTTACTGCACAGCTGGCAAAAAAAGATACACTACAATCCTTGTGGGTGACAAATCTCACCAGGAACATTCAGTTTTAATCTGTAAAGGAGCTTATTTTGTCACTGTTGTTATTTATATCCAAGATATGTCACAAGAATTGTTTGGGATTGAAAGATGCAGAAATAACTGCTGTTCCTGCAGTTTCATGAATGCCAGAATTATATATTTCTATTAACATTATTGGCTTCCTGATAATAAAGTATGTAAATGACACCAGCACCTTTCTGAAATGTAAAGAAAGAACTGGGTGCTCAGAGGGAAGAAACAAAAACCCCAGGTGCAGTGCTTTTTCTCTAGACTGTTATGCTCACTTCTCATTTAAATCAGTTACAAAAAACTTTAATTTTCTAGGAAAAATAATGAGACGTATCTGACTTTTTTTTTAGCAAATGGAACGGTTCAAAGTGGTGGAGCGTGAAACAAAAACAAAAGCGTACTCTAAAGAAGGCTTGGGGCTTGCTCAGAAGGTGGATCCAGCTCAGAGGGAAAAGGAAGAAACAGGACAGTGGCTAACGGTAAAAAATTTACATCTAATTGAAATATTAATTCATCTGTTGTAATTTTTTTTGCTAGAGTGATCAGAAGCAAAGGAACTCATCAAATTTAAGGATTTAAAACTCTACACTATAAATGTCTGTGTTCTGGTGACATTTTCTTCATTAACTCTCTTCTCCAACAACTTCCTCCACATCTTCAGAATACCATAGACACACTAAATATGCAGGTGGATCAGTTTGAGAGTGAGGTAGAATCTCTTTCAGTCCAGACACGAAAAAAGAAAGGCGATAAGGAGGTAAGCACTTCCACTTGTTGGATACTGTTCCCATTCATCAACTTTTTGTCAAACTACGTTTTCTTTTGCCATGTAGAAACAAGATCGCATCGATGAGCTCAAGCGGTTGATCGAGAGGCATAGATTCCACATTCGCATGTTGGAGACAATTTTACGAATGCTGGACAACGATTCTGTGCCGGTGGATGCAATCCAAAAGATCAAGGATGACGTCGAGTACTACATTGATTCCTCTCAAGACCCGGATTTTGAGGAGAACGAGTTCCTGTATGACGACTTGGACCTGGAAGACATCCGTGAGAGAGAGCACGTTAAAACTATGCTTTTCTGTTTTCACACTCGACAGCGTCACCTCACAGCCTGTCTTTTCTTTTGTAGCTGCAGCGTTAGTTGCAACGTCGCCATCAGGTCAGGGCAACATGGAAGATGACATGTATCTTCATTCGAGCAGCACTCCCACCTCCACCACATCTTCTTCACCCATCCCTCCATCCCCAGCCACTTGCACTGCTGTAAGTTCTAATTATTTTTTAAACATTTCTCAATATTTTAAAGGGATGCTGGATAAAAAAGTACTTCCTGACACGATATTGCACATATCTCCCCCCTTGGTATAAATTCAGTTCACCCTTCTTCAAGGCATATTGTTTTATAATCCACTGGCTGGTATGCTGAATCAACTTTTCAAAGGTGAAATGTTATATGAAGGTATCTCCTCCTATAGGAGAACTCAGAGGACGATAAGAAAAGGGGACGGTCGACAGACAGTGAAGTTAGTCAGGTGAGAGACTCATCTGTGCTGTTAGTAGTTAAGCAGTGTAGTGCAGCACTCTTCACCCTTGGTCCTGGAGACTCACACTGGCTGGAGCTTTTTTTATTTTTGTTTGTCTGGTTGGCTTCTTTGCACTGACATTAAACAAGTTTTCTCTTTGGGCCATGGTTGGAGATTTCTGGTTTATTTTGCTATTTTCTGCACGAATGGGACTCTAGATCACTATAAAACTTTGCTCCTTGTTCACGCTTCATTTCTGTAATTGACTTTTTTTGTTTGAACAGAATTGTTTGAGATGTGTTTTGTGTTTCATTTCCAGTCGCCTGTGAAGAATGGTGCCCCATCCTTACAATCTTCCTTCTCTTCTTCCACCACCTCTGGGTCTTCTTCGTCCTCTTCCCTCGTGTCCATGGCGAGCGTTGTCGGAGGCATTCTTGCCGTTCCCACAAGCAGTACTCTCATAGGAAGCTTTAGCAGCGCGGTACAGCAACATCAGCATCAGTCTGCTCAACAGCAGCAACAGTCTCAGCAATCAAACCAACAGCAGCCACCTCAGACTAAACCCTCCATTCCCTCGAACAACACCCCCAGCCCGCCCAGCAACCCTCTTCTCCCAACATCCACCGCCCCTTCCTTAACCATACCCAGCACATCCAGTTTATCAGCTCCCAACTCTCATTCTCAGCCCATCTCTGGGCCCACCTCTGCATCCAGTTTGGGGCTGGGGCTGGATTTAAGGAAAGGAGGCATAACAGGGACCAACAGTGCCAACCAAATGCCAAGTTTAGGCTTGACTGGCCACACCACTCCTTTAAACACGATGGCAGGCCTCATTTCAGGGTCCACATCTGCCCTTTATGCTCACGCAGCAGCTTCTGGAGGTTTGGGGCTGAGCAGCACCACTCAGTCCAGCATTTTAACCGAGAGCAGCACTTCCAACCCCACCTCAGGATCCAGTGGAGTCACCACCAATGGAGCGGGGTCAGGGCGTAATTTGCTAGGTTCCAGCCCGGTCCACAATTCTCTGAGTGGGAGCATTTTGAGTCTGGTCCCTGGGCAGGGCGTGGCCCCTGCTACCTCTCAGGTGCCCCCAACTTCTGCCAGCACCACAGCTGGAGTCGTTGGCCTGATGGTTGGCAATGGAGGAGGCGTCGGTGTGGTTGGAGCAGTAGGCATTAATGCTGCTCCTGCTAGACCACCAAGTGGACTGAAGCAAAATGGAAGCACAAGTAGGTTAACATCTTGTTTATATTTGTTTACTGTGAAGTTTTTATATAAACACTTCTGCTAATGTTTGCACTCAGGTTACAGTGCTGTAGTAGCAGAGAGCGCCACAGAATCTCCTCTTAGCACACCCAACCAGTCACAAAACAGCCAACCCTCATCCCTCAGTTCCTCAACCAGCCAACCGTAAGCCTTTTTGGTTTTGTTTCCACTTTAACACCTGGGACTTTGCATCAGGATTCCATTTTTGTTTGTTACTTTTATTTTGTTTAGGATGGACAACGGCCCCAGTTTAATCAGCTCTATCACCCTGCCCCCCAGTTCTCCATCCCCCTCGTTCTCAGACAGTACACCAAGCGGAGGGAGTCTCCTGAACGGGCCCCACTCTTATCCACAGGCATCTGAGGGCCTCGAGGTGAGCCGAGCGAGTTCTCTGAACTGATCACACTAATGCCAGGTGTAGCTGGAGCGTGGAGAGATTAGAGATGAGCCTAGAGCTGCTTGAGATGTTGAACATCTGACAGTATGCAGTACTTAGTCTGTAAGAAGATCAATCTGTCATTGATTTTGCTCATTTTCTGTCCTAATTATTGTCAAGAGAAACTGATAATAGACTTTCCTGCAGCAACAGACATTTTAACTTGTCTCAGCAGGATAATCACAGCTGAGGCTAATTTTGTTAATGACCACCCTGATCGGGTGGTCCAACTATACTGCATGTTTTAGCAGTTTCCCTACTTCAACACACCTGACTGAAATGAACGAGTGATTGATGCCTTCTGCTAAACTTGGTGACTCTGAGTAGGTAATTCCATCATTTGATTCAGGTGTGTTGCAACAGGCAAACATGCAGGACAGCCAGGCCACAAGGATCTCAGCATTAAAGTGTCTTAATAAGCTGTGACATTATTCATTAATGGAATGCAGTTATTTTAAGAAATGAATTATAACGTGTCTTTTCTGCCTTTAAAAAGCCGAAAGATCTTCAGTGAAAAATGTCCTCCAGCAAGGTTACAGATGTTTTTGTTTATTTTTCATTGGTGACTCCTCTGGCATGTGTAGTTTCAGGTACTTTTCTTGGAGGTGTTCATGTTCAGCTTTAAATATCACTTTTGAAAATATTTCAGACTGCCCACAATCTTCTTTTTCTGGCCACATTTATACCAAACAAAGTGTACAGTTATACAACAGCACACAGCTAGGAATCATGCCAAAACTCCTGATATCTTTTTAACTTGAAGCACAAAAGAAGGTGGCAGTCACTGGCAATGTTTAAATATAGATTGTAAAAAAACAAACAAAAAAAAAGAATTAATTAGCATGAACCATTTGATATATTTTTTGACAGTTTCCAACCTTCTGCTGTTTGCACCTGAGATGATTAGAAATAGGGACTGGCTTGTGACACTGTTAGGATCTGCTGTAACTGTGACAAATACATGTATGATTTAATGAACTCAAGATCTGAAGGTAAATTCTTTTGTTTTTTTCTTTTGATTTAAGTTGATTATTTTATGCTTTTCCGTGAGTGCTTTTTTTAAGCACTCGCATATTCATTTGTCTTGGTACTTTAAAAAAAAAACTTACAGTGTTCCCGTCTGTTCGATCTCACTTCCTCCTCAGGCTCCTAAAGGCCTCAGTTCCCTGAAGGTGATGGCTGAGAGAGCGGCGCTCGGATCTGGTCTGGACGGAGAGATTCCAAACCTTCATGTGACGGACAGAGGTCTGAACGGTCAGGCAACATTTTCTTCTGAACTTCTAAAAAATTCACTTTAAATAATCCTGAGTTTCTACAGGGTAACATTTCTTTAGTTAACCCCAAATGATAATGTGTCATTACCAGCTGTGGTTGGCTTATTTGTGTTACAGTATTCAAGGCATTTCAATTGATTGGAAACATCTGAATGACAATTTATCAAAACTTGAGACTAGTTAGTTGTCTGGAATGTTCACGTTGTATTAGTATTTAGAGGTAAAACGTTAAACTGTGTGAGTATAAAATGCAATGAGCTGCTTTTATTGTTTCATGTGTGACAAAGTCTTTTCCTTGTCCCGTAGATATCTTCTCCAGTTCATCAGCAGCGCCTGGCACCCCTGCTGCCCCACAGCCATCCGTGTCGGAGGTCAGCATCCCTCCCTCGCTTGGGGTCTGCCCGCTGGGTCCAACCCCTCTCCCCAAAGAGCAGCTGTACCAACAGGCGATGCAAGATTCTGCATGGAACCACATGCCTCACCCGTCTGACTCTGAGAGGATCAGGTGAGCATGTCACAGTTTTCAGTCAAGACTTGATTAAAAATTGATTAAAATAACTGTAAAATGTTTGTCATATATTTGTTTGACTGGCTTATTGGGCATATTTGTAATAAAATACGGTGGCAGGACGATTCTTTAAGGGCTAACAAGTTTTTATTATTGGAAGGAGAAAAATAAAATGTGAATCGTCACATCAAACAAAAGTGGTCTGTGGAGATTATGCAACTCTAGAGCATTGGTTAAAACTTTTGCAACAATTTTATTGTGTCAAAATTAAATGAATAAATATCTATGGGCCATTAAATGAAATATCTAAAATAGATAAAATTTTATAGCCCTTTTTTGATAATTAGCTACAAAAAAACAAGATTTTGAGCAGATTGATCTTCGTAGACCTTGTCCTGTGAGCTAGCAAAGCTTTTTCTTATTTCCATCTGGTAAATCTTAATGTCCAAATATTGTTTGAGGTTTCCCTTTTTTTTTAATTACATAAAAAATCAGGTGTTTATCGCTGAGTTATCCAGATTAGTAAGACAAATGAAGCCGTATTTGTGGAACTGCTCATGATATCCGGATGATTCAAGTATTAAAATGTAGTTTAAAAATCAGGAATTTGAAAAGGCGCTTGGGTCATTTTGACCTAACTGGATTTAATTCTCAGTTTGATGTGATGGGTTACAAATATTCTCAAGTTAAAACTGAAATGGGACTTCAACTGAAGAGAAACTTAAGGAATGGAAATATCTAATAATATCACTGCACTGCAATATTTGTTTTTGTCACACTAAGTTCATTCTTGCTAAAGAAGTGAATCTTTAAAGTTGACCTAATATGGGGGTCCTAGTACAAGTTAGGATCCATCTGTGGGCTATACAAAACATGTTCATTTGATTTAATTCACAAAATGAATCTCAGATCTCAAGTTTCACCTTTTCAGTTTTTCCTGTTTTTTAGCTCTCTTCAGAAATTGCTGTTTTGCGCAAGTTGCTATGGAAACCCCCTCCCAACCTTTTGCTTACGTTAGCTCAGCCCTCCGCCAGAAGTTAACTTTCGGTTTCCTTTCATTTGAAAGTACTATTTGTCCAAAGTAGTCCATGGTGAAATTGTTTACACAAACTACAACTTTCTTTGTTAATATTGCCAGAACATTGCTATCAAAAATTAAATTAAATTTAAAAAAATTAAGTCACACATCTCTGTTCTCCACGACTGTTCTAAAACAGCAGGGGCCTCATGTACAAGACTTGCATGGACTTCTTACTAAAACGTGGCTTACGTTCAAATCCAGAAAACAGCGTACGCACAAAAAGAATCCAGATGTATCTAAATGTGTGTACATTTGAATCCACACATTTCTTTTGTACATCACAATTAACGTGGAACTGAGCGCACGTGAGACACCTCCCTGACACGCCTTCATTAACGTATGTTGCAAATTACTTCCTGCATGTGTGAAGGACATGTTTGTTTGATCCCTGTGGAGAGTTTTCGTGACGTGATTGTTGGAGAGTTAGAATCATGTGGATGAGACCGTTCCATTGGTCATGATTCGGCTTTGGGTGGACTGGACTGGCACAGTCCTGATGGGTCTGCCAGCTCCCTCTGGAAAGCTCCTGTGGAAGCCCAGTTCAATCACTGCTGCTGCACGTGCATGTGCGGCACACAGCTCCTCGCTGTGTTGCGCTCCCAGAGTGCTGCAGTGCCAAACTGAAAAATAATTATTCCTCAAAATGGCTGAGCCACTCATCATAGATCAGAGAATTCTATCTGTTTATAAATAAATGTTCTGCGTGTTACACTATTTATTATATCCTTCAGTAAGGCTGAATCTGTTCCTGTTAAATGTATTTTTGACACAGCTTTGCGCATCCTTTATCTAACTGCGTCCATGTGGATGTAATAATTGTTAATCATGTGGATGTAATAATTGTTAATCATGTGTGTCTGGTGTGAACAATAATCATTTTCACATCATGAACATTTTCTCAGAATCACCTCTAAGTGTCCCCAATGGAACCAAAACCACAGAAACCTGCGTACGCCAGCACTGGAGTTGGCGTGGGGCTGCGCACATTTCCACGTTCATTTCAGTTTTGATAACATCCGGAGTTTTGCGTGGAAAATGGCGTACGCAAGGTTTTTGTGCGTTGATACATGAGGCCCCAGAACCGTCCTGTGAAGAAGTGGGTGGAGTCTCTACTTGGGTTACCAGGAGACTGGCTGGGCCCAGGTTGGAGTAGGCTGGAGTGCTGTTTGTGACGTCACAAACGGCACTGTTTGAAAGCAGCTCATTTCAAGACACAGAAAAATACATTTACTTACAGAAAAAATAACTCTGGGTGCATTATTTTGGTGCTTGGACTGTTTTTAGAAACAGTACAGACCCAAATGTAAGTAAAAAAAAAACATGAAAAAGTGAATTTAGCATATTGTCCCCTTTACAAAAAAAAAGCTTTATTCAGAAGAGTGTGAGAAAAAGTGTACAAAATAGATGAAGAAAATAAATAACTGGGAAAGGTGTGTCTTACTGACTGGGTTTGGAACAACATGGTTAGTTTTTATGTGGCAGGAAATGATAGAAATGATTAAAAATTTGTTTTAAAAAAGGGCAAATTATTCTTTGGTCATGTGCTGAGGAGCGGCCATGCGTGTTGCTGTTTTGATAGTGATAAAGAGAACAAGTTTGGGAACCTGTTTCTGATTCTGTTTTTCATTTGAAAGGCAATACCTGATGAGGAATCCATGTCCCACGTTGCCGTACCACCATCAGGTACCAACCCACCACTCTGACACCATCGAGTTCTACCAGAGACTGTCCACAGAAACTCTCTTCTTCATCTTCTACTACCTGGAGGTAAGCCTTCACCTTGTTAACTGATCCTTTTTCTCTTTGTGAGCTGTATTTTTTTAATTCAGTCTCTTCTCTTCTAGGGCACTAAGGCTCAGTATCTGTCTGCCAAGGCTTTAAAGAAACAATCGTGGAGGTTTCACACCAAGTACATGATGTGGTTTCAGAGGCACGAGGAGCCCAAGACTATCACCGATGAGTTTGAACAGGTGCAGCTTCTACACAGTAATGAAACTTAAGATTTCCTGATTGATTTTTATTAATGTTTCTTTTCTACCTCTGTCCTCCTGCAGGGCACTTACATTTACTTTGACTATGAGAAATGGGGCCAGAGGAAGAAGGAGGGGTTCACCTTCGAGTACAGGTACCTCGAAGACAGGGACTTGCAGTGACGCTCAGAAGGGGGACACGAAGGACAGAGAAAGACAAAAACCGTGCTGCTGTTGACATTCCGAGACTGAACTCCAAAACTGTGGATAGAGATTGTGATGTGTAGTAGAACACCCCTCTCCTGAAGTGAAGCCCGGGCATCTGTATAGGCTGCGTCTCAATGTGAAGCCCTAGCTCCTCGTGTAGTGCTTTGCTTTTTGACGAAAAAATACCCCGTGGGTCTGATCAAACGCACCGCGCTGCACGAGCTGGGAAGGCTCTCATTGGAGATCTGCATTTGTGCCTGTTTGTGTGCACACTCAGTATGTGGCATTAGGAAAGCCTACCCCATGCATGTTTCTCTTTATTTTCCTTTTTATTTTTCTGTTTCAACACGATTCTCTGCACCACCAACTCAACATGAGCCGGAAGCCTTTCAACTCAACACAAAACAACCCTCGGATTTGATTAAGGTGCCCATCTTGTATTTTTCTGTAACGTGATGGTTTAGAATGGCGATGTCCAGTGGACATTTAGTCATGGTGCGTAGGAGCGGCTTCTTTTAAGACCCTACAATGCCTGTTGAACATGGTCACTATTGAAGATAGTGAGCAGTTATCAATAGTTTTATTGATATTTTGTCTTGGTCGATTTAAAACATGAGAGTGACCACAGGGCCTCTCCCTGTGACAGGGTAAGAGTCCTTATTGGACATGGATTAAATTGCTATGCAATTGAACTGGTCTCTGACTCCCTCTCTTTACAAATAAAATGTTTAAGTTAACCTGTCAAAGACATTATGGCTCCTTCCATGTTTGTGACTACTTAATAAAACTTGTAAAATAAATCTTTAGGGTTTGGAGAAATTTATCTATTTGATGTTTTGACTCTTTCACGTCACCGAGTCTCATACAGACCACACAGAGTGAATGTAGCTCTACCTGAATCACCTCTTTGAAAATACGTTGAATTAAAATCATCCAAATCTCCCCACCTTAATTTTTTCTGTTACACTAATTTATCATTGTTCAATTTACCACCTCAAGTGAAATCCCTATAAGGTGAATGTACACTGATACAACTGTTTACATGTAGAGTTTAAACAAATGCTCAAATTCAGGTGGTAGAATTTAACAGAAGGAATTTATCTGGGAAGCACTCCAGCTTTTCCTTACTAGTCCAAACAGGCTCAGTTTCTTGATCCAGATCTATACTGCACTTATTGTGTGGGATCGGTTTCAAACGGTTTTGTTTTTGAAAAGAATACACACAGTTCTGAGCTCTACATTTTATAGATTATATTTTTTGGGGGGGCTCTTAATGTTTTTGGAAAGGTCGGGAAAAGAGAATTAAAACGCAAAAATGTGAATTTCAACAAGTCTTTTTTCCCTCGTCACAGTTCTGCATGGGAGATGTTATTAAAAAAATGGGATTATAAAAGAATTGTAAAATTTCAATAAATACTTTTAAGAGATTACACATCAGTGTGTGTGGTGTAAAGTCCTGTTGGTCCTGAGTGAAGATTTACTTGGCTTCAAATTTTGAACAAATTTGAATATATTCTGATAGGAAGCTGTTAGTGGAGCAACTTTTAAAAAAAAACTAAATTTTTCTCTAAAACTACACACTGGGATTTTTACATTTTATTCATATGGAGAAGTGATTGAAATACAAAATACAAGGTGAAGCACAAAAAAATGCAGGATGACTGGAGTTTTTACATCTTGGATTCCTTTTTGACTTTGAGGAACTCTGCCATGTTGGAGAAATATTTCTGATTGGCTTCAGCCACCTTCTTCTCTGCAGCCTGTGGGTTCACAATCTCCAGGCCCTGCAGATGAGAACAGATTACAGTGAGATTGAATTTTTTAAAAAAGGAAAAAAGTCCTGTCCTGTTGGTTACCTGAAGAGGAGTGAAAGCTACACTGGAGCTGGTTCCTGAGGAGCGGTCTCTGACGGTGGACTTTCCTCCGTACGTCATGCTCTGCTTCTGCAACGTTCTCTGTTGTAAAGAATAAAACATGTTATTAGAAATAAAAACATCTGAAGGTAAAGAGCGTGCAAACAAATGGTCCTGACAGTTCTTACCTGCAGTGATTTGGAGATCCTAGCCTTGGTGGCCTCGTTGACCTGAGCCTGGCGGACTCTGCCGCTGCCGCTCTTTCCCAGCTGACCCAGACTGAAGCCCAGATCCTCCTGGTAGGCATCGTCTTCAATCTGCAACAAAATGCCAATGAGTGCAAAGTGTTCCATATGTATCTGTGACACAAGACTCATCTGCAGCTTAGGTCCTCTTTTTTTTTTTTACTGGAGAAGTCACGAAATGACTCAAAAACTACTATAAAAACAAACCAGCAAAAAACAGTTAATGTAGGATTAAAGACCAGATTATCCAAACAAATGCAAATTGAGACTTGACTTTAAATTAAAAAAATCTACACTAGCCAGTACAACAATGAATTTTCATAGATTTTGATTTGAATTTTATGTTTTTCATCTATAATAAATATACACATCCTCCACCCAAACAGTCACATAATTGGTAATAAAAGAGCAAAATCAGTTTGTTGCCAAAAATTACAAGCCGTTTGTTTACATTCATTACAAACCTATTACCTCCACATTGCATTTATTTTTTTGACTAAATAAATATATTCTTGGGCACTGCTATCAAACAGGTTTTCGACAGGCATATTTTATTTATTGATAGAGGTTGAATATTATCACAGTAACAAAAAACAGACTTACAATAAGAACACTATAAAAGGTGGTTTGATATTATAAGAGATTGTAGTTTGTAGTTTATTTTATTTCAACCTGTAATTTGTTTATTTATTTATTTTTTCAGTTTACTTTTAATGGTTCAATTATTAGATGAGGTGTGAAAAAATCTGAAATGGAGGTTGAAAACCAAATATCTGTGTCTGGTTGGAGACGTAAGAGCTCACAAGTTTTCTTCTAAACCAAAGAGAGGCTTGGTAGAAATAGTTTGGGAATCCCTGGAGTATGAGACGTTCAAGCCAAATAACTGTCCAGTTAATTTAGATTTTAAAATAAAACTATTACAGTGAGTTAATGATGCCACATTATTCAAATCTAACAGTGAAGCCAAGAAAATTTCCGCAAACCTCAGCGAAGGTCATTCTGTTGGCGTGTTTTCGTATCTCAGTCAGACCGAGACGCTCCTTCATCTTTCGATACCTTCAGGGAGAAACACGAGAGTAGAGTTTGTCGTGTCTGTGACGGTTTAAACAAGCTGCTGTATAAAAGAGTATCATGGGTCTCAATAAGCATAACAGAGTGACTGCATACCTCCTTCCTCCTCTCTTCTTCCTCTGTCCGTCCAGTGGAGCCGGCAGTGGTTTGACCTGCTTCACTGGCGGAGGCTCCTGCCATTTATCAAACTTCCTCTCGATTTCTTCTTTTAGATCATAACCAACCTGTAGAAAGGTTTATGCTTTTGTTAGAATTGATGACAATCTACACTTTGGTGCTCAAAGACGCAACACACTCGATGCATCTTTTAGTTGTGTAATAAATACCTTTATAAAAAGATTTAATGAAAATTTTGGTAACAATGGCTACCTTTCCATCTGAGCTCTCATGAAAACTGTCCACTCGAGAAGCCAGAGTGCATTTTGCTGCTACCAGTCGAGCCGCCTTCCTCCTGAGGTCCTGAAAGAGAAAAACGATTGCCATTAGCCCACACACATTTCAGTACTACACATGTAAAAAGAGTTGAAATATACTGCATTTACTGACAGGTGGTAATGACTGCACAACATCACAGTGGTAGATGAAGCCGGTGTGAGGCAGCAGGGACGTGCTGCTGAAGCCAGACAGGGTCCTCCTCTGAGCTCCCAGCAGCATCAGGTTACAAGCTGGCATCTTTGAAAGGTTAGTGAGACCGCCAGCAATACCTGCAGCAAGAGGGATGGGACGAAAAGGAGGAAGATCAAATATAAATAATATGTGCTTTTGTAAAAATGTGCGCAGCTCCAGAATCTTCTCTCACCCATAATCTTGGCAGCAGTTGATGCTCCAACAATAATGGACAGGTTGGGGGCGATAAAAGACATCCTGGACTCTACGTACTCATATATCCTGTGTTTAGACTGATTCAGCTCCAGGGCCATGTCACAGGCCTCCTCAAGCTGCTTCAGCTCATCCTCACTTAGCAATGACCTGAAAATAAAATTCACACAAAAATCAAGTTTAACTGAACACTTTATTAGTCTTTTAAAGCTCTGGCAGGCAGGAAATGAAATATCACATCAAATGATCCTATTTATTAATATTAACATGATTGTGTAGTTTGACAGACAAACTCACCCCTGTGTGGTCGATGCCGTCACACTGACGACCATAATCGTAGCGTTGGTCAAGATCTGCTGCAGCGTTTCATTGTTTTTACATTTCTCCAAACTGTTTCCCAGTTCCTGAAGAAGGATCACAAAAATGACAGAATGGGACATTAAAGCGTGTGATGGACTTGCGACCTGTCCAGGGTGTACCCCGCCCCTCGCACTGTGACTGCTGGATATGGGCACCAGTGACCCACGCAACCCTGAAAAGGAAGAAGCGTGTACAGAAAATGGATGGATGGATGGATGGATGGATGGATATTAAAGCACCAAACGCACAAAAATACAGCAAAAATTAACGTTTGTGTGAAATAAACACCAAACATAAACCTTTAACTACTCTGACATTGTCCTCACTAAAACAAGTTGTTTAAAAGAAAAAAAATGTCTGAAATAAATAAATAACTCCTAAGTTGGGGGTGGCAGCATCATGCAGTCATATATTCCTAAAAGCTTAAATTATAATAGACAAATTAAAAATATAAATTTTAAATTTACTACAAGTTCACGTTGCTCATAAATGTGTCAATGAAGAATAACTTTTTATATCTTAAGACAAATATTAAATACTATAGCACCAATGTGACCTTTTTGTTTTTGGTGTAAAACCCACCTTCACTGTGCGGATATAATCCAACGCATCCGGCACCAAAGACTCAAGCTCTGGAAACCTCTTGGAGTATTTGTCTCTTGTAAACTTGTGAATAATGTCTTTAAAAAAGAAAGAAAGAAAGAGACATGCAAGATGTTTATAAAAAAAATGTTCAAATTCTTTTACGCTCTCTTGTGAGAGGCCAACTCACTGAGCTCGTTGTCAATCTCCACTGTGAGGTTGTTGGCCGCTACGATCAGTCTGTATTCAGGGTCGGCCTCGACTGGACCTGAAACTAAGAAGAAACAAGAAATTATTTGAGAGTATTTATCAAAAAGTAAAAAAAAGTAGGTCCTCTGGATGGGTTCTTCTTTAGTGAAATGTTTCGTCTCTCCTCCAAGAGACTTCTTCAGTCTGATGAGTTTCAGGTGAACTCATCTGAGAACTTCACCTGAAACTCATCAGACTGAAGAAGTCTCTTGGAGGAGAGACGAAACACTAAAGAAGAACCCATCCAGAGGACCTACTTATTTTTTCTCTTTTTGATTTTTTTTCTACCTGGCTTATTGAGATGCATCAGGACATTGGGCCTCATGCAAGAACCGTTCGTACGCACAGATTTGTTCTTAAATTGTGCGTACGAGTGATTTAGGAGAATTTATGGCATTCACCAATGTTTTCGTATTCTAAGATTTTTTTCAGATACGAACAAAATTTACGAGTGGTCCAGACCTGTTGTATATACTCACCGGCCACTTTATTAGGTACACCACGCTAGTAACGGGTTGGACCCCCTTTCGCCTTCAGAAC